TGAGACACAATGTCATCCATGAGTTAAACTGAAAAACAAAATATTTAATCTTTGTGACACTTAAATAGAATTTGCATAATAATTTGGAACAGGGTGTAGTCTCCTGTATTGTAATGATATGTAGTTTATGAAAGAAAAAGAGCCCATCATAGGATACAAATGCATTAAACCGTTTATTTATTACTGGTATTTATAAAGCGCCAACAGATTCCGCAGTGCTGACAAAGTACCAACCTTTAACATGGCTTACATTCTAGTAAATACATCCTGCACATTTCCAATATTACCAGGCCTAGTACTATTTCATCATGGTTAAAGGGCCACTATAGTGCCAGGAAAACAAACCCGTTTTCCTGGCACCATAGGGTCTTTAGGTCCCCCCCCCCACTCTCATGGCCCCCATCCTGCCGGGCTGAAGGGGTTTCACTCTTACCTTTCACCAGCGCAGGGCTCCCTCGGTGCTGGGAAACTCTCCTCCCTCTTACGACGCCAGCACTGAATGCGCATGCGTGGCAAGAGCCGATCGCTCATTCAATCAGTCCATAGGAAAGCATTTCTCAATGCTTTCCTATGGACGTCAGCGTCTTCTCACTGTAATTTTCACAGTGAAAAGCGCGGAAGCGCCTCTAGCGGCTGTCAATGAGACAACCACTAGAGGCTGGATTAACCCTAGTGTAAACATAGCAGTTTCTCTGAAACTGCTATGTTTACAGCTGCAGGATTAACCCTAGATGGACCTGGCACTCAGACCACTTAATTGAGCTGAAGTGGTCTGGGCAGTGGCGGATCCAGAGCCTGATCTCGGGAGGGGCACTTGTGGATTATTTAAAGAAATAATCCAGACACAATAACCACTACAGCTCAGTGTAGTGGTTATGGTGTCAATAGTGCCGGGACCCCCTCCCAGAGTAAGTAGTCAAATCGTTTAAGAACAGTTTGACAACTTACCTGAGGTCTGCTGGGAAATGGGGCTGTAGTAGGGCATAGGAGCAGTGGTGTGTGTGAGTGGTGCAATGTGTAAGGGGTGCAGTGTGTGTGTGTGTGTGAAGGTTGTAGTGTGTGAGTGAGGGCAGTAGTGTATGTCAGGGATGCAGTGTATGTGTGGGACAGTATGTGTGTGTAACGGTTACAGTGTGTGTGAGTATTGCAGTGTGAGTGTGGGCAATGTGTGTGTATGGGACGGCAGTGTAAGGGGGCAGTGTGTGTATGGGGAGCAGTGTGTGTGTATAGGGGTAGTGTAGAGTGTGTGTGTGTGTATGGGGGGCAGTATGTCTGTGTGTATGGGGGGCAGTGTGTGTGTGTGTGATAAGGGTAGGGGGGCATTTTTTGTTTTAAATATATATTTTTTACTTTATTTAAATAAATATTCCATGTCCCCCCTCCCTTCTTACCTTTATGGGCGCTCCAGGGCTAGAGTTCACTCTCGCGAGATTTGGAGTGTTGCCGTGGTAACCGCGCAACGCTTCAAATCTCGAGAGAGGAGGACCCGGAGGAGCTGCAGGCTGAGCTCCCAGGTCCTCTCTCCCCTGCCGGCTGCCAGCACGGTGCCTGCAGACCAGGGAGGGAGATCTCTGATCTCCCTCCCCGGTCCGCAGGCACATAGCAGGGCTAGCACCTGCATGTCCTGGTAGGGGAGAGGGAGACCGGCGGATTTCTCCAGGGGGGCAATTGCCCCATTGCCCCCCCCTGGATCCGCCACTGCTGAGAGGGAGGCAGGAGCTGAGAGAGGGGGGACAGGGACTGTGAGGGTAGACAGGGACTGAGAGGGGGCAGTGGCTGAGAGGGTGGGACAGGAACTAAAAGTGGGGGACAGCTGCTATAGAGGGGGTCACATGGGCCATAGACAGGGGCATAGGGGCTACAGAGGGGGACAGTGGCTTTAGAGGAATGGACAGGGGAAGAAGGGGGGCAGGGGTTCAGAGTGGGGCAGGAGCTGAGAGGGGACAAAGGGGCTGTGAGAGAGGACAGGGACTGTGAGGGGGAACAGGGGCTGTGAGGGGGAGGACAAGGCCTATGATTGGGGACAGGGGCTGTGAGAATGGGACAGTGGCTGTTAGGGGGGCATGAGCTGTGAGAGGGGGCAGGGCCTGTGAAGGTGGTACAGGAGCTGAGAGGGTGGGACAGGAGCTAAAAGGGGTGCACAGGCTCTAAAAGGGGGTCAGCTGCTATAGAGGGGGACACTGGGGCTGAAGATGAAGGCACAGTTCCTTTAGAGAGGACAGTGGCTGTAGGGGGCAGGAGGCTGTAGAGGAGACAGAGGCTGAGAGGGGACAGGAGCTGAAAGGGACAGGGGCTGAAAAGGGGACAGAGGCTGAGAGAAGGGACAGGAGGAGCTGAGGGGGGACAGGGGCTGAGAGGGACAGGAGCTGAAAGGGGGGACAGGGGCTGATAGGGGCTGATAAGAGGGACAGGGGCTAAGTGGGGAGGAACAGGAGCTTACACATGGGCTGTAGAGGAGGGGGACCGTGGATGTGGTGTGGGCCCAGATGTGTAGTGGTGGGGCTGCTTAAAAATAATGCAAAAAAGAAAAGAAAGTGTATTTCCCTCCTCCCTGAGGCTTACCTTGGGCCAGGGAGGGGTGGGGCAGGATCAGGATCTGGAGCATGCAGTCAGTGGAGTCGGCCGGCCTCTCCTGATGATGTCAGGAGGAGGGGGCGTGACTTCCTCTGCTCTTCTCCTAGACTAGTCTGAGCTGCATTTCTTAAACATATTAGATGAAAGAATAAAAAACAATGTCCATGGAAAAAGTAATGAAGTCATATAATTGTAACATAAAACATAGAAAATAAGAACTTTGAGAACGAGCAAAGCTCAGAGAAACCTTAATAGCTTGCCCTTGGGTTAGTTGCCTCTCAGGTATCAAAAATTGGTTTGCTCACTTGCTCCATTACAGAGAGAACCTATACAATTTGATATCAGACTGATACTGCAGCCCTGATCCAAAATGTTGGTAAGCTCATATAATTGAATAAACTTATTAGTAGAAACATTGGTGTGAGAGCAACTCTCGTGCAGAGAGAACTTGCCAGCATTTCAGTTCTAACTTTCCTTTATGGCTGAAATCAGTCTGATATGCAAATGGTATAGGTTCACTCTGAAATGGCACAAGTTTTTGCCTGTTCTCAGACTTCTTATATTCTCTGTTTTTGTTACAATGTATTTGCTTGGGCTCTCCCTAAGCTAAAAGGATAATCAAGACATGGACCACATACCCATTGTGGACACCATGACCACATTTTGGTTCTGGACTGCTCTATAGGTGGGATCACTCCTGTATGCAAATGGTATAGATTCTCTTTCTAACTAGCATGGCGTCATACCCCAAACACACAGAGTTCAGCACAGCAAGTAACAAAACAAGGAAATAATGTATAACCGGGCCTTAGAATGACTGGACCTAACAGTAGACAGAGAACAAGTGAAGTCAGTAATGAGCCGAAGTCAAGGCAACAGAGAGACAGCGAAAACGAGAACTAGCCAGGCGTCAGGTACACGGTAAACTATCAGACAGGCAAACATCAGAGGAAAGAGTTTAAGATAAATGCAGAGTCAGTAACAAGGTCAATACCAGAATAATAATATACAAGAGATCAAAGAATGCACTAAAGAGTACTGGGACAAAAATCACAATAGGGCACAGTGTACAGGGCTAGGGAGGTTTAAATACCTTCAAGTCACTTTTGAATGGTTACGTCATGCCTGCACCCCCAAAACGTAATGATGAGCTTAAACTACCTGGGGCTCCCATTGCCCATTTATGCGCATGCTCGCGATTAGAGCAGTGCTCTTACGCATACGAAGCAGGTCCCACGACCTTTCATTACAGGCGGCGCAACCGGCCCACTCAGGATGATAAGCAATGGATGCAAAACATGTGGATGCAGGAGTGCTCGAGATGGTGCAGATTGAACAGAAGACCCTGGCCGGCTCTCGGATTCGAGTACCACACCAACACTGCTGTAATGGAACAAGCGTACAAAAACTGTTTTGAGACCTCAGCAGGGACTAACCGAAGGGCAAGCTGCCGAATTTCTCTAAGCTTTTGTTCATTCTCATAGTTTTCATATTCTATTTTTTTGTTGCGCAAGTATGGACATGCCTACTAGATTTGCACACAGCTTTTTAAGCTAGTATGAATCAAATGCCTTTAAATCTGGGCCCCAAAAAAATCGATTAAAATGCCTTTAAATCTGCGCCCGAAAAAATTGATCTGGGATCTACCCATGAAGTCTTATTACTTTATTTTTACTAAAATTTTTCAATGAAATAAAAAATAAGTCTAAATTTGTATTTATTTTATACCATGCCACATGTTTCCTTTGTCGTGATAACCTAAATTACTACATTATAATTTTCAGAAAGTATTTTAATCCCATAAATAAAGTGAAATAATTTGTGATGCTGCACATTTATGTAAAATGTAAATTTATTTCTGTATGTTGATGACAAGCAGATGCTTTTATTAAGAAAAATGCATTAACACTTAACACACAATTTAGGATGTGATTTGATTAAATTAGGGAGTATTTTATGCCGGCACATTGCAGGTGATTTATCAAGCCAAAACATATGCTATTATATTGAGAAAGAATGTATATTAGTTTCCATGGTGAGTGGACGTTTGGTACTTTGCTCTAGAATAGCACCTGTTTTAGTCTTGATAAATTTCCCTCATTATATTACTACCTTATTTTCTTGAACAGGTTTTAATATATACATTTTTGTATACATTATATATATTTAGATACTAATATAAACACATCACATTAACATATAAAAATAGATTGTACCACACCCAGCTGTTACATGTAAATTGCAAACCCAAATACTCAGTAAAGTCTTACAATAAATAAAATAGTATGTTAAAACAAATTCTTTTTTTAAGTAAAACTGCATGTGATGCACTCTACCACTTTAAGACGAGCAGCATTATAACGCAAGGACATACTGAGAGCTACAAGGAGTGAAATAAAATACAAATAAGCTAATGCATTTTATATCAAAGTTGTTTTCTAAAACCGTAATGTTTCAAATAATGGTAAGAGACTAGAAAATGCACAGGTGAAAATAAACTAACAGCAGATCTCTGAACGTTACAGAACAAGCAGCACAAATAACAAAAGACATTTTCTATAACACTAATTTATATACAAATTGAGGTTGATGCTTTATTGTCATTTTAATCTGGCTGCATATAAAATAATGAAAATATAGGCAAATACATTTTAGAAACAAAATACATTCTTCTTTACTCTTTTGTCACACAACATATTATAAAAATATTTCACAGTCAGAATTACTCATTTAGCACAGTAGCAAACTAGGTATTTGTACAATCTGCAAGACACAAACTTTTCATAACCCTATATGTGTTCTACAGATAGACAGACGGACGGACAGACAGACAGATAGATAGATAGATAGAGATATAGATAGATGGATAGATGGATAGATAGATAGATGGATATATAGATGGATGGATAGATAGATAGATGGATATATAGATGGATGGATAGATAGATAGATAGATAGATAGATAGAGAGAGAGATAGAGAGATAGACAGATTGATATATAGATAGATGGATAGATAGATAGATAGATAGATAGATAGATCGAGATAGAGATAGATCGATATATAGATAGATGGATGGATAGATAGATAGATAGAGAAATAGATGGATATATAGATGGATGGCTAGATAGATAGACAGACAGACAGATAGATAGATAGATAGATAGATAGATAGATAGATGGTTCTTCTGTATAAATTAGTAGTTATTTTAAATGAGTTATTTAACATTTTTAGTGGAGATAGTTCTTTCTCTACTTACGCCACTGCAATATTAATGAAAGGTAAATATTGTACCCTTATGCAATAAGTGCAAATATCTGTAAGGTACTATTTCTCCTAGATTTTCTGGGAGTGCATTGCGGTTCATAAATTCCATGCTGGGATCAAAAGTGATATATATGAAATTTGTATCAGGTTGTACCTGAACAGTCTTGCAAATGATGAAAATACTAATTTAAAAAAAAAAAAGAAACAAAAAACCCCCCAAACAAACAAGAAACTAAAGCAAAGATGCAAAACAAAATGGAGAGGGCTTTTAAAATAACAAATGGCAAATATTAGCCGGTTGCCTTTCTGTGACAGCTGCTCTTTAATTAAACAATTTTAAACAAATAAATACTTGAAATTTCTGACATTGAACCCCTTTCTACTTATTACCGCTAAGCACAAACTCTACCATCTTTAACTTATTTTGCCTGCCTATTGGTTTTTGATCTTTTTTTATCAATTTACAAACATGTAAAAGAAATTGAATTCACCAGGGAACAGCAAATAGATAAAAATGTTTAACTTGAAGTCAGCTGCTATTCTAACACAGCTATTTTCACCATAAAATATTTATGTTTTTTGTTTTATTTTATCAATTCAATATTTAATGAATACTCCTGTAAGTTAAATATATATTTTTTGGTATTTCCCTACTGAAATTTCATATTTGTATTTATATTCATTAAAATTCTACTCAAAGTTGCATTTTAATATTAACACTCTGGGGTTCTAGATCACACACACACTATGCACTGGCAATTATTTATCAATTAAATTTTCCATTTTTAGAGTGTAGATTTCATAATTTTCTCAAAAGGAACACAAGTGAAAAAAACAGAAGGGTAACTCACTAAAGTGAGAATTCAAGCTGAACTGGGACAAAAACATTTCAATTAGCTCTGCTATACTCTGCACTTAAAATTGAAATTTACTTAGAATTTTCAATGAATTCTCACTTATATAAATAACCTTGCAGGTTCCTGGCCAACACGACATGATGGCTTCTGGTTATAAATCATCTAGTTTTGGTGATATGTAGAGATGATCAAATTACCAATCTACAGTGTAGACAGTTCATTTTTAAAGTGTTACTAACTGTCATGGAAAAGACAATTTTATAAAAAAAATAAAAGTACATATAATTTCATCTATACCTTGTGCTAGCATAACTATGCTAATGTTTTTGGCCGAAATTATTGTTTTTGGGATATTATTTTGTTTTATGTATACCTGAAGTTCAGTTGAATGTTTGTTCATTTTTGCTGAATTCCAATTTGGAAACTGAATCAGGAGAACATAACAAAAAGGCATGTAAATAGGCCAAGCAGTGTGCTGCGAGATATTTTTTTTTTTATATTTTTTTTATTTTTTTAATACTTTTTTCACAAATAATGCAAATAGGATATAGACAGTGAATGTTTAGAATATGCTCAGTAACATTAATCCAAATTCTTAGTGAGATTCATCAAATCAGGATATACAAAAAAAACTTACATTACAAAACATAAACTCTGATGTCTGGTGGGGGGAAGTAACCTAAGGGTGATTTATTTCTGCTTCTTTTTTTGATTGTCACAGGGCCAATATTTATAGCACGTTTTTACTTTTTGGTATTTGGTTAATCAAATAGGGTAAGTCACTAATCCCACATATCATATTTCTTGCGCGAATTCAAGTAAGGTAGGCTCAAATCCTTTTCCATCCTGATTTGTTCAAGAATTTGAGTCTTAACCATGACTCACGTTATTTCAGTATTACTCTTCCAATTACAGGCTATAATAGTTTTAAAAGCAACTAGACAGTGGGTAATTAAAGATATAAACGTAATATAATATGTATATATTTTGCAGTACACTGATAGGAGCATGTTCTGCCATTTAGTTCAGAGGTCAAGTAAGACAAAGTAACCAATAGAAGGAAAAAGAGGAGGAGGATTTAAAAAAATCAATATTTTTATATTTAAAAATTATATATTGATTAAATATGATAGATAGATTTGTTACTATTCCTCTTGTTTTTCCCTCAGTTACTCACTTCTCACTTGACCTGTAAATAGAATCAACATTTGGCGACTGTCCCCTAGCCTTCAATCATCTTTTTTTTGTCATCATCAATCATCTTTTTTTTGGCTCAACAGGCAGAATTCAGAATATTAACTCCACTGTTTGGTTAGTCCAACATCCTAAAACTAGCTATGATTTGTGATTGCTGTGGGAATATAACAACAGAATGACAGACAAAGTAACAATGACAATAAAAGAGCTTAAGGTTAACATTTACCTGGGGACCAGATTGAGATGAATCTTCAAAATGATCATTTATGATCGTGATAGCTCACCCCATTTAAAATGGTACACCACAACCAAATGACATAATCAAATAACATAATCAAAGTCCATGATGCAGTTTTAAATGTGTAGATGCTTATATTTAACAGTAGCCACTAGACTGCTGTCCCAGCTAAACCCAAATATTGGTTTGTTAGCTTTGTTTTCAAGCTACCACAATATAGAGTTCAGAAATTAATTAAATTAAAAGACAGCTATGATTCAGTTACTTTTATAAAATAAAATGACTTCTCTGGTATTAATTCAATGAAATGTAAAAAAAAAAAAAAAAATACAAATTTTTTTTTGTGTGAGATCTGAAAATATTGCAATATTCAATGGATGCTGTGTTAAAAGTAATAATTAAGGGGTAACACTGTGAAAAAAAGAGAAGAAAAGAAAAGAGTAACATTCCATTTCTGTGGCAAAACAGTAAATGTGGATAAATCCTTGTAAAAAGAAATAAAATGTTCATGATAATTGTTTCACTATTTATTTTCATGCATAGGGCCCGTTGTATCACTTTGTGCTGTTTGAGACTGAAGAAGATACTCCAGGAAATTGTTTGACAAAATAAGCACCAAAGAAAGAAGTGTGAAGCAAATTTACTTCTCTTAAAAAATAAAAATAAAGATGAAAATTGAATAGCTCAAATATGGAGAACGTTAAGAATTATGACTAATCAGCTCACTACTAAAATTGTTTAAACACCAATTTCTCCTTTCCAAGAAGTCCAGACGTCAATAAAACAAATTTCTCTAGCAAAACGTAATTTAATGCCTAGAAATAACTTTATAGTAACTGGAAATGATTGTCCCATTTTCCCTCCTCCTAAACAGTAAGCAAGATTTATTTACCATATATAGGCCTTTAAGCAATATATATAAATATATATATACATTTTTTTTTATTCTTTTGGCATTTTTATGAAGCTCTTAAATCCGTAGAAGGATATTTTTTACTTTTATATTTTTAACATTGTCATATATACTAGACTACGCAAAAATAAAATTTCAGATTATATGCTGTTATTTCAAAACCCGTCTGAAATATTACAAGAAGAAAGATTTCACATAATAAAAAATATACCCCAATATTTCCGTTAATGATAAGCAAATAAATAAAAAAGAATGATTATTTACAGAAATATATTTTTTTAATATCTTAAAACAGCAATCACAAAATTGCAGTTTTATTCCACATTTATGTGTTAGCTATGCATTCTATGTTTCAATAAAAAAAAAAGCTATAACGCTAACAGATTTTAGTGCAAAAAGGGCTTGGTAGTGAAGCGGTTAAGAATTAGTGATTTGAAATGAGAGAGTAAACTCTTGTTTTTCAGGTCAAATATGTAAAAATACATTTTCATTTTAGCCAGTCTGATTTGTTAAAAATTTTTTTGCCAACTTTGCATTATCAACCTTCTGTAGAAGGGGCTTGCTTTAAGAATTGTAAGTCTGTAATGTCTTGGAATCCTAATAAATTGAATGTGTATTATTTAATAATTAAAATCTTGTGAAGAATATTTCCATATACAATTGTGGACCTTACAAACATTTTATTTTGATCTATGAATTCAGGTTAAAGGAATAATACTTTTGGTTTTTTTAAGATCATTTTCAAAAATACCATACACCCCATTTCCATCCCTTCTCATTATCTTATCACCCAAGTTCTATATGATAATTGTATACAATTGTAGTCCTGTGGGTTTAATCACAGCACTTGTAGTGTGTGGCGCCTTTATGTGGTTCTTACATGAACTCATTGACAGTGCAGATTATTCACTAAAGTGAGAATTATTGGAAATTCACAATAAATTTCATAATGTAGCCCAAATAGTCTAAATAAAAACATAGCTGACTTTGGGAATTTTTTTTTCCATTTTGACTGTGTTGGCCTAAATTTGAATTCATCTGAAAAGTTTTAAGAGTTTTGGTATTTTTGTGTATTGTACTGTCATAACATAGGACATATTTTCACCTAGGCCAATAAGGTCTAGTCCTATAATGGCAGACTGAAGCACTTTTGTATTTTAATATAAGGGCTCCAAAGCTACTGTTCACATGAATGAGTATGGCCCCAGACAGCCAGAGAAAACTTTGACCAGTTCATCCTTCCTCCGTACAGCCATAGTTTGAACATTTAATGCTACATCTGTCAAGTTCTTGAGAGCCTGCTGAAGTGGTTGTGCTTGAGGTGCAGGGCATAGGGAGTGCAGGATTCGCCATAAGTAAATGGAAGGGCTGATATTTTGAGTTAAAAAATTAGATTAAGGTGGAGGCGGAATATAAGCAGGGACAGATGGAGTATTTGGGATATTGGGTGGCATGGGTAGGAAATGCTATGAGCATGGGCAAGGGAAAGGATAGATAGGAGTGATAAGCGGTCTAGGGGTGTAAGGAATGATAAGAGTGATGGGAGGATGTGCAGAAGAATGTATGTGTGGAAGTAATAAGAGGTTATAAGAGATAATGCCAAATGCCAAGGTATATTGGAGAAACATGGATGGGTGGAAGTGATAAAAGAAAGGGAGATGAAAGGATAGTTGGGAGTGGGAGGAGGAATTGTTCTACAGCCGTAGAAAAGATACATTTTATCAGTAACCATGACTAATATTTAAACAGAAAAATATCCAACTTAGTGAAATTATTGGGAAATGTAACAGTGTTGCTTTGAGTTGCAGCTGAATCAAACAGTTTAACCCCTTAAGGACCAAACTTCTGAAATAAAAGGGAATCATGACATGTCACACATGTCATGTGTCCTTAAGGGGATAAAGGGACACTCCAGGCACCCAGACCACTACTACCCATTGAAGTGGTCTGGATGCCAACTCCCACTACCCTTAATCCTGAAACTGTAAATATTGCAGTTTTCATAAACTGCAATATTTACCTTGCAGGGTTAACTCCTCCTCTAGTGGCTGTCTACTAGACAGCCACTAGAGGGCAATTCCGGATTTATAGCATACATTTCGTGTGCTATAGTGTTGCTGGACGTCCTCACGCTATGTGAAGACCTCCAGCATTGCTGAAATCTCCATAGGAAAGCATTGAAAGTATTTTTCAATACTTTCCTATGGGGAGGTCTAATGCGCGTGTGCGGCATTGCAGCGCATGCGCATTAGGTCTCCCACCCCCGGCGGTTGCGCATGCACAATAGTTCTCCCCCCAAGAGATCTGTAGTACTTGCCAGCTGTTTTTACATATATCCCCAATGAAAAAATGCATAATTAAATGCATGCAAGTTGATTTTGGGGTATATCTACTAAACAGTGATTTTTATTTATTTTGTATTTGGGCAGTGGAGTGTCCCTTTAAGATGTAAAAGTCTCCAAGTCAGCTATATTCTCAATTTGTATATTCTGCTTTAAAATGCAAAATTCACATTGATTTCCAAACTTTTCATCCTTTACAACTTAATTCACTAAATTGTGAAATGCTAGGAATTCAATGTAAATTTAAAATTTGAGGCCAAAATAGCCAAATTGAAGAATCAGTTACAGACTGATGCGTTAGTAGTATCAGACCTGTTTTAACACACGGGGGAGATTTATCAAAGTATTGCTGACACTTTTATGTCTGATTTTCTGAATATATTGTACGCAGTTTATTAAACCTTTTGGGACTTGTCATCTGATGATAAAAACTAGTGAAACTTACTATGATGAAAACTGTCACTTTTTGGACAGTTTTCATCAATAATGACAGAATTTAACTTTTTGATAAATATTCCCCAAAGTTATTTTATATTTAAGTGAGGAAAAGGTGAGCATGATTACTGCAGCAAAATATGGAAATATAATTGATCCTTAACTTTCTTTACCTGTTGCTATTTACAAAAGAACAACGTATCAAATGACATTGGAATGAAAGTCATTTTAAGATGGTAAGTAAGTACTCAGATTGTTAACAGTCTTATAAGGGAAATTAAAGACTTATTTGAACCAACGTAGACAGTGTTTGCAATGGAAAATCACTGTTAAGGATGGTTCTCCACCAATTTGTTGAAGTTACTATCTAAGGGGAATAATATAGCAGCCAATAGTAAAGACAAAAAGGAAATTGGAGCACACCTGGAACATCCATTTTACAGGAATATTGTTGCCATAGAGACCAAAGGTCATACATTATGCAGACAATGGCACAGCGCACATATAAAAATACAGTTTTCCATTTTCCATGGCTACTTAAAATCACATATCTAAGCAAATAAACATGTGTTTACTATATAAGTTCAGAATCCAGACTAGATTCATTTTGTAAAAACCAAAGAAAAAAAAATTACCTGCGCTCTTTCCCAAATCCCTATGTATATTTAAACAAATTTTCATTTGGTATAGAGCAGATATATAATCTGCATTATGAGTATATACATAAAAGCACTATCACTTTAATTTAGTATTGACGCTGTTTTTTTTTATTGTGTTCTATCACATTTTTCATTATATATATATTTACAATGCCCTAAGAACATATTATTAAAATACAATTTAGTTCATTTGGCACTAACACTTTTTAGTTTGTCTCTCATGTTGGAATTAGTGTAGGACTCACCGATATTCAGGTAATATGAAGTAGTGGTAGGCTTAACACAATATGGCTATATGGTGGAACTGAATCTATAGTTAAATATAGTCTATATTAAATATAATGGTCAATCACCATCAGTGTACTATAAGTGATTGCAACATTGAGATGTAAGTTGGTGGCAAAAATGTTTTTTCTGCAATGGGATTGTCAGTTGTGAATTAACAAGTTTGTCATACAAGCTGATGACATATTCACTGCAATGTAGCATTTTATGAACAGATTCCTCAATATAAGAAGAAAAAAATGGTCCCCTGGCATCAAGAATTTCCTATATTGGTACCCAATGTGTTTAATGGGTCAATGAAACACAGTGTAACCAATAATTTTAAAATGAAGTAAAAATAATATATTTTTCTGTATACATTCAGTAAAGCCTTGTTTTTTTTTATCCTTTACACATAAAACAGCATTTACAGTGTGTGAACATAAATGTGTAGTAGTCAGTTAAAGCCATATTGCACAATGGCTACATTCATGATAGTGGGTGACATATTCAAGTTTGAATGGTTATAAATTTGATGGACTTAACAGATCGGGGGGACTCCCTAAAGGTGTCTATGCTGTTAGTTGGGCTTTTCGTCTGAATCCTAGAGAACGATGTTTGTCTTCGAGTGCTGCTATCTGAATCCTCCTTGCCCAGCGTCTGTTTCAGTTTCCTGCAGCAGAGAAAGCCATTGATAAAATCTTGCAGGAGATGTCCGCTGAAAAACATGTATATCCAAGGATTGCAGCAGCTATTCAGGCTTCCCAGCAGAGCAGACACGGTTATGGCAGTGTTTTCAGACTCTAGGGGGAAAACAACATTTTTACTAAGGACATAGGAGAGGTGAAAACGGAGAAATAATTAAAGAGCAAGCGACACTTTCCTTGAATTTACACCATTGAACAAAATCACCTATAAGTTGTGTTAACCTTTCTTTCATGTGAAGCTCTGTTTTTTTTTTTTTTTTAAAAAGAAAGAAAAAATTATATGAAAAAAAAAATGCAAATTACATTGTAATGCAGTTAAGACAAGCCCAGGGCAGACATTCCAAATGAAGAAGAGTGATAGAAACATTGCTTGATTGTTCTTATATTATTACTATTATTATTAGCATATATATATAGCGCCAACATATTCCGCAGAGCTTTATTATTATAGGAAGGGGATATTTACAGGTAAAAAAAATTCTACTCAAACAATCTTACAATTTATACTCTCACTATGCTGGCTGTCAGGCAAGTGAAGGAGGTTATAACAATGACTGACAGGCAGATCGGGACATCCAGTTGTAGGATTAAGAGATGCTGATTTTTACATTTAATTTTATTTTTCACACTTTGCAAATACATATTTGTAAAAAGCAGAGATATGTAAACATTAAATGAAATATCCTAAGAAGAGACAGATCCCCTTTAATATTCGTGTTACAGGTGGTGGTGAATGCATGGAGTAGCCTCCCAGCAGAGGTGGTACAGGGATAATATGAAATATCCTGGGAAGAGACAGATCCCCTTTAATATTCGTGTTACAGGTGGTGGTGAATGCATGGAGTAGCCTCCCAGCAGAGGTGGCACAGGGATAATATGAAATATCCTGGGAAGAGACAGATCCCCATTAATAGTCATGTTACAGGTGGTGGTGAATGCATGTAGTAGCCTCCCAGCAGAGGTGGTACAGGGATAATATGAAATATCCTGGGAAGAGACAGATCCCCTTTAATATTCGTGTTACAGGTGGTGGTGAATGCATGGAGTAGGCTCCCAGCAGAGGTGGTACAGGGATATTATGAAATATCCTGGGAAGAGACAGATCCCCTTTAATATTCATGTTACAGGTGGTGGTGAATGCATGGAGTAGCCTCCCAGCAGAGGTGGTACTGGGATATAAACGGTTTCTCTCCCCATTTCTATGTGTGTGGTTTCTACTGAGGTCATTGAAACACAGTGCATTAAGAAACATTTTTTTTTTCTGTTGCTTGTTCAGAATTTCAATTATCAGGATGATAAACAAGGCATGGAGAGGCAATCCATTAGTTAAATCATTCAGCAAACAGACAGAAGAACCTATTTCTTCCAGCTAAAATTGTCATAGTTCAAAATGTTAATGCAGCTGCACACAGACTTTTTCAAATGATTACATATTTCTCTTTTTGATGTGCCCTATGCTCTTATCATTGCAATAAAGCCAGTCTGTTGTTTTATTATAAACCATTTTGGTATCTGGCTGTCTCTATAATAAGTAATAGAATCAAGGTCTCTCACGCCTCCCCACTCTGTCAGTCCCTGCATTGGCTTCCAGTTAGATATAGGGCTCAATTTAAAATTCTGATGCTTGCTTACAAGTCCCTACATAATGCTGCTCCAACCTACCTATCCTCCCTAATACACAAGTATGTCTCATTGAGGCCCCTACACTCTGCCAAAGACCTACGTATATCCTCTGTCCGTACTCCCACCTCTAACGCTCGCCTCCAAGACTTTTCCAGGGCTGCACCTCTTCTGTGCACGCCTTCCCTTCTCCGTAAGTATTTTACCCAGTCTCCACTCAATCAAAAAATCATTGAAAACTCACTTCTTCAAGAAAGCATATCAATTAAACTGTTAGTAGGTTTTCATCCCCCACCCTCCATGACTCCTCCCCTGCAACTGTCAAAAATGACCTACTAATCCCTCAATTAATACTTTTCTAACAGCCTACTTTGTACCCTTTGTGTCACTATACCCCACTCCCTCTAGAATGTAAGCTCATGGAGCAGGGCCATCCACCCCTCTGTTCCTGTTCGTCCAGTTGTCTGGTTACAAATACATTTCTGTTAGTCCACCCATTATACAGCGCTACTGTGTCTGATGGCGCTATATACATAATAAAATAATAATAATAAGGTAGCATATGTGCCATAAACATGTTAATATCATGAAATGTTCAACTTCTTGATATAACTAATGAGCTACATCTTCCATTTAATTTGCTTCATATTATGCCTTTTAAATTGGAAAAATAATTATTCAAGTTTTCAATTTCAAATTAAACAATATAGTACTAAGGACCATAAGGTCCACTGACTGCAGTGGTAAAACTGGCTGGCAAAGCATCATAACAGTTGTAGTTCAAGGGCAGAGGTGCCCAATCGGTAGTTCTATAACTACAACGTCCATGATGCTTTGCATGCTTTTATGTTCAAAGTATCATGGGAGTTGTAGTTTTAAAACATCTGGGGATCTACCTTTTTTTTGCACCTTTTTGTTTTAATCATCTTAAAATAAAATAAAAAATAATCTCAAAAAAAAAAAAAAAAAAGACATGCAGTGGTATTTATAAGGGAACACTGCTAATGAGAATGTGTAGAATAGAAATGAACGTGCTAAGCAGAAATTGATATACAGTACTGTGCTGTAAGCTAAATAGTTGTGCAACCATCCCAAGTATTTTAAACCGTTACTATGTTACCGGTCTGATACTAAGCTAACAAAAAAAAACACGGCAAAGTGCATACGGTACATAATGTCATAATAGAGGACATAGACACGGTATACGCGTTGGATTGGTCTATTCACTAAACAGCGAGTTATGCGATGTTAGAACAGACTTAAAGAATTCAGTCACCCCCAGTCTTTGCTTAGTGAATAGTAGGCATAGTTACACACAGCTGAATATAATAATGGTATATAACCCACCATGACAAAATACACATTGCACACATTGCTGAGGCTTTAATGTGATTGCAAAAATGTTAAGAGTTCATCCAACTAGTGATCTAATTCATGGACTGAAATCTATAGTTTTGCCAATAACAATATAATTGGAGCCTGTAGTTTGGGTTGTCCAAATGAGATGCTACAGCTTAAAAACATTACACAGACTTTCTGGCATGTTCACCGATAGCTCAATTAATAAAAATATTGCTATTCAATAGTGATGCAAAATATATTTTGTATGTATGTATGTGTGTGTGTATGTATGTATATATTTATAAATACATACATACACACACATACGCATATAGACATATATTGTATTAAACTCCTGCTCACGGGTCATTTTAGCCATGAATAGCATCATTCAGCATTATATTTGTGAAATAATGATAAAGTCTATTTACCTATCCATTCTGAGTGCTCGTCCCAAACAGACCACATTTGGATGGCGAAGTAAGGTGCCCAGCAAATGATATAGGCTGTCACAATGACAAAGGTCATCTTTACAGTCCTGATCTTGGCCCTGGAGATAGTCCTCACACTACTCACTGAGGTGGAGAGGAGACCATTACTCCTTCTCCCTTCCCTCTCCTCTTTCTTGGTCTTGCACTTGATGTTGCTCCAGATGTTGTAGCAAATAAATCCATAGCAGGTCACCAGAATGATGACTGGCAATATGAAGATGCCTATGGTGATCCAGGTAATATATGCTCTGAGACCCCAAGGCTTGACGAAGTCTCCCCAGCAGTCATATACCTGTGATCCAACTTCCACCTCTTGGAGGGAGAAGATAAAGTATTGAGCCGTGCTGAGGAAAAAACTCAAGAGCCAAGAAGTGGTTATCATCACGTAGGACCTCTTGGTGGGCTGCTGGAGGGTCTTCAGAGGGTGGCAAATAGCTATGTAGCGGTCAATGGTCATCACCACTAGCATGTAAGCTGAGGCAAACATTCCAAAAACCTGAAGGTGCTTCACAATGCGGCACAAGAAGTCCGGACCGTGAAAACGGTAGGTGACCTCCCAGCAGAGCTGAGGAAGAACCTGAAAAAAAGCCACCACTAAGTCCGCCAAACTTAGGTGCTTGATGAATAGATGCATCCTGGACATCTTCTTCTTTGACTTGTAGAGACCCATCAAGACACTGCAGTTGCCCAGGACAGCAGCCACAAAGATAATGGCTAGCACAGCTACTTCAATCTTGGCCAACTCTTCGTTTCTGTTGAGGAGATCAGAGCTGTTGCTGCGGGTAGGATCATGGCTTGCATTGAGAAGATCCGAAGGGTAGAACGTGGGAGATGTTACTCCATTCCGTATCCCACTGCTACTGTTAGCAAAAGTGGCTTCTTTCCCTGGACTGCCTGCGCTTTCAGAGAAATGCATGTTGTCAGTTATAACTCTTGTCTTCGGCTGTTCCCTCTTGTTATAGAATGCACAGATTGAAGATACTGTGTATTCTGCACAGTGGCTTGTGAACACTGTGACAATGTTTCTTAGCTGCTTGTGCACGCTCTACAAGCCAGCTAAACTAAAGCTGGGGAGATCTATTTCAGCCGTCTCTCTCTCTCTCTCTTTTTTTTTTTAAGGGGCTGAGAAATATCTGGCCAGTCATTGACTGGAGCCTTGCCCACATGTGAGAATGTGTAGCTGCCTCCATCTCTTTGAATCTCCCTTGTCAAAAATGATTACATCTCTCAATATATGTCTTCCATCCCACATAAACACCAATAGACCCAGAACAAAATAACCACAGTTAATAACTAAGCTATTGTTTCAACTACCTACTGCACTAGGGGATTCACACACACTTTAGACATGCATCAGTTTTGAATTGCATAGGGAAGAGATGTTCTTGTACCTCTCTATTACAACTATTTAATCAGTGACTGCATACTGTGTGAAAAATATTTTTTTTTGTTTGTATAAACAATATCCAAGCAATAATAATAAAAAAAATGAATTATTAAATATTCTGATTTTATTTTAATTTACCATATAATTAAAACAACAGAATATTTAATGTAACAGTGATACATAGCACAAATAGAACAATGACATTGCAGAACAACTACATTTGTAAGACATAGACAATGTTCACAACTGTCTACAATACAGAACAAAGCTCTTTGTAATAATCTTTTTAAAATATTTTGTGTTATTAAAAATATCTCAGATGATTTCTGTACCTGGTGTCTGAATCCATACCTTGCATTTAAAAATAAACATTGGTTTTTTTCACCATTCCCCATTAGTATTGCATTTCATCGAATCTCTGCAAGACTGCGAATTGGAGGGAGCAAAAGTGCGTCTTTAGGTTATTATGTCTGGGTCGATGCTAGAATACAATATTCCTGCCTTTTCCAATTGCACTCTGATTTCCTCTAAAGAGATAATTCAAACCAGACACGAAGTCAAGTCAGACACGAAGTACGAAGTCAAAATCAGAATCCATTTAGAAAAATATCAAGCCCCCGAACACCGATTGAGTCCAAATTTACACTTGAAAAATGTGTTTATTGAGCAAAGAAAAAATATAAAAATGAAACACAGTACTGAACACACATTGCCAAAGGTAGAAGTGATTATAATTTCAAGACACTTATGGGGCACAGTGTTGATTAACTCCTTAGTGACACAGCCTCAGGACACAAACAGTTTTGCATTTTTGCTATGTGTGTGTTCAACCATAATTTACATTTTTTCTCATTTATTGCAACAATACATATTATAGACAGTTTTACTTCTTATGTAGCCATTTAACTTGCAATCTCTGTTTAAAATTGTAGTTGAGTTGTGTTTTTGTTTTTACATACGCACATATAATAAGTTTTTTTTTTTTAATGTGTATTTGATAAACCTGATGTGTGCTAAGCCTATTTTCATTTTGGGGCATTGTAGATGTAAGCTACTGTAATAAAAATTACTAAATTATGCTCAGCTATATACCAGAATGACTCCCATTTGCATACTGTTGTCTGGATTTTGTGAACGTTCAGGATATTAGTGACCTGTCCATTACAGCTTTTAAAAAATGGCAATGTGAAGATAGGTCTATGGCATTTTTTGGTGCATTTTAGTAGCTCAACATTCAAATTACTCAATAAATGTATGTCATTATCAAGTGTGGATGCCACGAGGACTCTCACTTGTCTTATTATGAGTTTTATTTATTATATAACTGCTGTGTATTTTTTAAATCTCACGTATACCAATGTAATAAAATGCTCTAAACTGTACTCCGCAACATCTCCTGAGTACTACAATACTCCTAATGTATACCTTTGCACAGTATCAATTATAAGGGGTGTCAATTATATTCCTAACCCTAACCCTATTCCCAATCCTAGCCTAATTCTAATCCAAAACCTAGTCCTAATACTAACCCTTATGTTAACCCTAATCCTAATGCTAGCAAATGTGTTTGAGGGAATATCTTGCTGACATCTCAAATAGATTCCCTTGCTGACTTCAGCAGAGGGAATCCCTTACAATTGGTAGCTCTCACTGTGTTATACACTAACAGCATGAGAGGTGTTATTTCCCTCCTGGCTGCTCAATCATATTGTGATAAATTAATATTATTAAAGGATAACTATAGTGTCAGGAAAAAAACTAGTTTTCCTGACATTATACAACCCTTAGGTCCCCTCCCCCCCACCTTCAGGGCCCCCTTCCCGCTGGGCTGAAGGGGTTAGAACTACTTACTTTAATCCAGTGCCGGGCTCCCTCGGCGCTGGTGACCTCTCCTCCCCCGCCAACGTTAGCTCCCGAGTGGAGCGGAATGCACAAGAGCCACGCGCGCATTAAAACAGTCCTTAGGAAAGGATTTCTCAATGCTTTCCTATGGATGTTCTGCACGCTGAATGCGATTTTCGCATCCAGCGTCGCAGAAGCGCCTTTAGCGGCTGTCAGGAAGACATAGCATGCAATGTAAACATAGAAGTTTCTCTGAAGCTGATCATAGCTGGGCACTTTGCACAGCTCAATGCTGATAATCCTCTGCACCTAGTGATTGCTCTGCAGTGGACAAGTAGGGAGGCCTAATCGGACTCAATTTGATACTGCAGATGATCCATTGCACCGAGGAGTCTAATTTTGAAAGTGTATGTACGTGTTCTGAACCTCTGGTGTATTCTTATTGTTGCCATTCACTCAACTATCTTGTTAACATAGTGATGCAGACAGAGCCACTGACAGTGCAAATTCATTTCGACAATGACAACCAACATTCACCTTTCAACACAGTCACATTCATCACCTACTCCTCATTTAATACACACAATGCATATTCACAAACATTTATTAACAAACCTGCACCTGCATATTGCAAAATTGCACAAACATTTGTATATTAATATGAGTAATCATCAGGACAACTCACAACATTTCCCTAAAGTTTGTGTATTCCATTTCCTACTATGTTCAGCATGCTTTCACTTTGCAAAGGGTAGTGCACATAATTGTAAGGAACATCTAAAGCAGGGGTGTCAAACTCAAATTCATCGGGGGCCGCATCAGCAGTTTGGTCACCCTCAAAGGGCCGGTTGTATCTGTAGGACTATGTGTCCACTCTTTATTATCATAAATTATTGTCACTGCATTCAATTATTACATGGGCAGAACGGGTGTATGGGGGGCAGTACGTGTGTATGGGGGCAGTATGTGTATGGGGCAGTATGTGTGTATGGGGGCAGTGTGTGTGTATGGGGGCAGTGTATGTGTATGGGGGGCAGTGTATGTGTGTGTGTGTGTATGGGGGGGCAGTATGGGTGTATGGGGGCAGTGTGGGTGTATGGGGGGCAGTATGGGTGTATGGGGGCAGTGTGGGTGTATGGGGGGCAGTATGGGTGTATGGGGGGCAGTGTGTGTATGGGGGCAGTGTGGGTGTATGGGGGCAGTGTGTGTGTATGGGGGGCAGTGTGTGTGTGTAGAGTGTGTGTGTGTGATATAAGGGTAGGGGGGCTTTTATATATTATATATATATAATTTTAATTAAAATATATATTTATGTCACCCCTTACCTTTACTGGGGGGAGGGGGTACATTTCCCTGGTGGTCCGGTGGGGGATTCATTGGTGGTCCCAGTGGGGAGAGTTCACTCTCGCGAGATTTGGAGCGTTGCCGTGGTAACCGCGGCAACGCTCCAACTCCCGTGAGAGGAGGACCCGGAGGAGCTGCAGCCTGAGCTCCGGGTCCTCTATCCCTCCCTCCCCCGCCGGCTGTCAGCACTGTGCCTGCGGACCGGGGAGGGAGATCTGTGATCTCCCCTCCGGTCCGCAGGCACATTGCTGGGCTGGCAGGAGAGGGAGACCGTCGGTATTCTCAGGGGGGGCAATTGCCCTGTTGCCCCCCCCGGATCCGCCACTGGGCTGGCGGCCGGCGGCGGCTACACGGGCCACATGACGAGGTCTGGCGGGCCGGATTCGGCCCACGGGCCTTCTGTTTGACACCCGTGATCTAAAGTGTTGTGTGAATGGAGGGATCATATAGCCACTGTGTATTTGGATTGTCAGGTCATTAAAAAAATTCATTAAAAAAATAAATATATATGACTATCACTAGAGAGAGTGAGTGAAGAGAGGGAGAGGAGATATAGATTTCCCCTGCAGAACACTCCCAGAACTGCCTGAAAAGGGAGAAGTCACCTGCAACTAGCTCTTGTCATAAAAGTGCAAATGTCTCTGGATGTGCAGTGTTTTATTCATAAACACTGCACATACAAATTTCTACCACCATGACCACTTCTAAAAGCAGTAGTGGGGGGGAGCGTCGCTAGCTGTGCAATGGATCAGACATACCTAAGAAGAGCTCCCGCTCTATTATACACAAATCGACTGCCACGGAAATTGTTAGATTTACCTGCATTATCAACATTCTTAAACCCCTCCCCCCCAAAAGATGGGGTGAAAACACAGGAAACTGGCCCAGGCGGAGGGCTCCCTCCTATCTGACATACACAGGTCTTTTGAATGACCACAACAACAGGCACTGACTAAGAGGGCGCACGGGAGACCACGAGGCTCCATCGAGTCGGAGGACTCACAGGAGGAGCAGAGCTCTACCGACTCGAAGGCTCAAAGCACACAGTACGCGCTGACAACAGACATAATTTTTGCATAGAATTGACATTGGGCTGCCCATAATAGAGTTCTGCCTAAGTCACCTGCAACTAGCTCTCGTCATAAAAGTGCAAATGTCTCTGGATGTGCAGTGTTTCATTCATAAACACTGCACATACAAATTTCTACCACCATGACCACTTCTAAAAGCAGTAGTGGAGGGAGCGTCGCTAGCTGTGCAATGGATCAGACGTACCTAAGAAGAGCTCCCGCTCTATTATACACAAATCGACTGCCACGGAAATTGTTAGATTTACCTGCATTATCAACATTCTTAAACCCCCCCAAAGATGGGGTGAAAACACAGGAAACTGGCCCAGGCGGAGAGCTCCCTCCTATCTGACATACACAGGTCTTTTGAAAGACCACAACAACAGGCCCTGACTAAGATGGTGCATGGGAGACCACGAGGCTCCATCGAGTCGGAGGACTCATAAGAGGAGCAGAGGTCTACCGACTCGAAGGCTCTAAGCGGAGTATACCGTCTGACACTGACACATCTCCATCAGAGAAAGGGGATATTAAGAAGCTCCTGCCTGACCTCCGGGCAGTCTGGGAAGCAGACCTAGCTGGCGTACAATAAGAGATTGGGAGTCTAACCCGA